AATAGGAAAGAAATTTGACAGATCCCCATTTATCTTCCTGTCTTTAGGAAAGACTCCATCCAAACAAATCCTAAGCTTTTATTTCCATGGAGAAGTAATACATTATTGTCACCAGCATAGGCTCTATAGGATCAATTATTATTGAATTTGGAATTTATTTATGTAAATGAATGTTTGTAAAACAAATTCAGAATTTCCTTTTAATGAACTGTGTGGCATCAGCTTGCACAGGATGAAGGGAGTCACATTGGCGGCTTTGCAGTAGTTGAATATAGCACTGCTGAGCATGCTGAAGAGGTTCAGCAGGCGGCAGATGGTGTGAGCATCAAGGGAAGCCAAATCCAGCTGTCCTTCTGTGCCCCAGGAACACCGGGGCGAAGCACGTTAGCTGCACTCATAGCAGCTCAGCATGTGGTGAGTGGCTTGTTGCTTTTTCTCTTTGGTTCTGTTTTATGATCTTGAGGATCCTAATGCTATCTTAACCACCCAGTCTGTCCAAAGGCAATGCTCATTCCCTGGACCGTTGTTATAGATCTGCTACAATGAAAATCTCTTTAAATTTTTTTTATTTTATTTGTATTTATTTTAAAATATTTCATTTATTAATGTAATTTTATTTTATGTGAACGAATGTTTTGCCTGCATGTATGTGAGTGCACCACATGTGTGCAGTGTCCACAGAGGCCAAAGAGGTCGTTGGATCCCCTGGAACTGCAGTTATGGGTGGTTGTTAGCTGCCCTGTGGATGCTGGGAATGGAACGTGAATCCACTGGAAGAACATCAAGTATTCTTAACCTCTAAGCCATCTCTCCAGCCTGTTTGTTTTTCTTTTATGTGTATGAGTGTTTTGCCTGCCCATGTGTATGTAAGTGCTCCACATGCACACAATGCCCACAGAGGCCAGAAGAGGTCGTCGGATACCCTGGAACTGGAGTTACAGATGGTTGTGAATTGCCAGGTGGGTACTGGAACTGAACCTGGGTCCTCTGCAAGAACGGCAAGTGCTCTTCACTGCTCAGCCATCTCTTCAGCTCTCATCTTTTAAAAAATTTTTTAAAATTTATTATTCTATTTTATGTGTTTTTGTGTATTGCCTGCGTGTGTGTAAGTGCACCCATGTTGTGCAATGCCCATGGTGGTCAGAAGAAGGTGTCAGATCCTCTGGAACTGGGGTTACAGATGGTTGTTAGCCACCATGTAGGTACTGGGACTCAAACCTGGGTCCTCTGCAAGAGCAGTCAGTGTTCTTAACTGCTGAGCCATCGCCAGCCCTTATTTTTTTTTTTTTTTTTGATAAACAATTTTTAAGTTGGTCAAGTCTTATCTTTATAAAATCAAACTAGATATTGAGAACAAGAGAGGAGAAAGAATTACTAAAGTGTATCCATAATAAGTAATTTTTGTGTATGTATGAATGTTCAGATGTGTGTGGGCAAATGTGTATGCATTTGAACATGCACATGTGTGCGTGTGGATATGTGCGTGGACCCAAGGCTGATGTTGGGTGTCTTCTGTGATTGTTCCCCATTTTATTTAAAAAGACAAGGATTCTCACTGAACCCAGAACTCTGCAATTCTGGCTAGTTTTGCTAGCCAGCTTCCCCTGTCTGTCTCCCAGGTGCTGGAATTAAAGATGGCTGTCATACCTTCCGGCTTTTACAGAGGTTCTGGGGATCCAAATGCCAGTCCTCAGGTTGCAAGTGCCTTATCCCTGAGCCATCTCCCCATCGCAAGAAATTTTTGAAGGAATTTCATTTATTCAGCAAATATTTGAGTTGCTATCTGCTATAAGTTTTTAGTGGAATGCTTCTTTTTTTAAGAAGTTCTCACAGAAGTATTCATAGTACAAGTATCCACAGTCCAAGCTGAGGAAGATGTTGGCCTCCTTTCTGCTCACACGACACCGTGTACCTCTTTCCTGTGACTATCTTCTTCCTCCTTGACCTCTTTAACCTAGAAGTCCCTTAGACACGGGACTATACCTTCCTCCTAGTTTTTACCTCAGCACTCAGGATAGCACATATCCGATGATTCAGTAACAGAAGGGATACAGTTTTGAAAGTGTTGGAACAGACTTCATGATGAAGAGGACATTTGAGCGTGGCATTAAGGAATGGATGAGATATTGACATGTGTTGATGGGGTGGAGGATAGGATTGCCAAATAAATACAGATTTTCCATGAGACATACTGCTGTTAAGAATTATTCATTGTTTATCTAAATTCCAAGTTTAACTGAACATCCTACGTTTTTCTTCACTAAATCTGGTGACCCTAAGGATCAAGGCTGAATAGTCACTGCAGGCTGAACAAACCAAGAAATTCTCGGTGTTGGACTCAGTGATTGGCATTCTGACCCTGTCCTTCTTCCTTGTTTCTTCTCACCAGTAGCATTCATTACTCAAATATTTATTTGCTGCCTAAGATGTACATGGTTAGAAATGTAAAGGCTATCCCTGACCTCTCTTAGGAAGCTCATGCCTCCTCTTGCCAAGCAGAGCTCCTGACTGTGTCCACCGCGTTGGTGACTCTTGATCCTCTGCTTTCTGCCTGGTTTTACTTGTTGCTATGCTAGCCCCATCTGTGGTAAGTAGCTTGTCTTTTTCTGAAGCAAACCCTCAGACAACTAGGGCCCATAGTCACCATTTCGAATCTCCATTTTCCTCTCAGCCAGGAGGAGAAAAGGAATCGATTAACTCTGATCTTCATCTGTGGATATCTGTGTTTCCAATCTTTCTTTCTGTGCCATAGTTGACATTTAACTGTATTACTCAAATTTATCCCTCTTCTCTAAGCTTTCAACATTTGATATACATAGACTTAGAACTTCTTATCATTTTTCAGATGTCACACATATTTTCTTCATTTTCCTTCTGTATAATGTGCATTTTCTTTTTGGCCTTCATCACCCTTAGGTAAATTTGTTCTGTTTTTCCTTTGAAAGTAATAACTTTTCTTCTTCTTATCATTTCTAAATTTTCTCTTTTACTTATTTCTGACTTTATCTTTATAATTTTTCTTATTTCTGTATTACATTTACTTTTCCCCCCTTTTTTGGTTGGGGAACAGGATTCTCCCCCATCTTTATGCGTATCAATGCCTACACTTGTTTTCCTTTTGGGCGCTAGGGATTGAACCCAAGACCTCTTGCATGATAGGTAGGTGCTCTGCCACTCAGCTGCATCCCCAGCCCTTGCTCTTTTTTTCAATTTTGTTTTGTGTTAAATGCATTTATAGGCAGGTGTGATGGTACAGTAAGCCTAACATTTGGGAGACTGAAGAAGGGAGATTGCCATGACTTTGAGGCCAGTCTGGGCTATATAGTGAGTTCCAAACCAACCAAAGCTGTATAGCAAGACCCTGTATCAAAAATTAAATAAATAATATATATGTGTGTGTGTACACACACACACACACACACACACACACACACACACACACACCTTTACAGGAGGTTTCCTTCTAACTAAAGCTGTACTTACATGTCTTAAGTATTAAATTAGGGATGTTTCAGTTTTGTTATAATTCCTTTTTAAACTCAAAGCTTATATTAATATATTCTTTCAATTTAGGAACTCAGGAATTTCTTTAGACATTTCTAAACTTAATGTAAAGACCATTTCCAAGTGAGCCAACAACTGTCAAAACTATTTCCTACCAGAAATCACATACATTAATAAGTATCAGAGTAATTCAGACCTCAGGAAGCTTTCTACCTGGACAGGTGCCCCAAGTCCCAGATGGTGGCAATGACATAAAAGTGAACAGGGCCTGGAGAGATGGCACAGTAGTTAAGAGCATTGTCTGCTGTTGCAGAAGAGCTGGGTTCAAGCCTCAGCACCTAAATGGCTACTAGTAACCATCTATAACTCCAGTTCCAGAGAGTCTGATGCCCTCTTCTGACTTCTGTGAGCATTGCATGTAGATGGTATACATACATATATGTGGGCAAAGCACTCATATACATAACACACACACACACACACACGACAATAAAGCAAGCATGGGGATACAGAGTCTAGCTGATTATAGCCATGGGGAATCCCCATGACTCTATGGTAATTTCTGTTACTTTGTCCTGTTGTAAACCCTTCAGTGTATAGCTGGAGATGGGACTCTAGCCGCAAACCTTCATTTTATTTGTAACAGGTGAAACTGAAGCTGTCATGGGGAACATCTACGACAAGTTATTTTCAGAGATGTGCTCCTTTTAGAGCACATGCCAAGGGCCAGCTTTTCTCACCTCCTTCCTATTTTCACAGGTATAAATACTTGCACATGTGCTTCAATGTGGATTCCACATGAGAGAAAACATATTTGTCTGAATCTGATCTATTTTGCATAACATAATAATCTCTAGTTCCATCCATTTTCCTGAAAATAATTTTATTCTTTTTTACAGTTTAATAAAGTCTCATTGTGAGTATGTACCACATTTGCCATATCCATCCATTCATCAGTGGGTATCTCGGTTGGTTTCATAATTCGGCTATTGTAACTAACTAGTTTAGGAATAAACATGTATGTACAAGTGTTTCTGTGGTATGTTGGCTTGCAGTCCTCCAGTTATAAGCCCAAGAATGGCATATCTGGGGCATATGGTAGTTCCGGTTCTAGGTTTTATTTGTTTTGATTTTTCATTTTGGTTTTAGCCACAGCTGTCCTAGAACTCACTATGTAGACCAGGTTGGCCTGGATCTCAGAGAGATCCATCTGCCTCTGCCTCCTGAGTGCTGGGATTAAAGGTGTGTGCCACCATTTCCAGCTAGTTTTAGTTTTTGAGGAAACTCCATGCAGATTTCCATTGTGACTACACTGTTTTATATTCCCACCAGCAAGCTATAAGGAAGAGTGTGTTCTCCTTTGTTCATATCCTCGTCAGCATTTTTACCACTGGTTTTCTTGATGATCACCATTCTGACTGGCCTGAGATGGAATCTCAAATCAGTTTCAATTTGTATTTCCCTGATGGCTAAAGATACTGAATATTGCTTAAAATAGTTGTAAGTCATTTGTCTTTCTTTCCTTGATAATTCAGTTCATTAGTCTGTTCACCGAGTGGATAGTTTGGGGATTTGGGGTGTTTAATTTTTGTAGTTCTCTATAGAGTCTAAATATTCTTGGTCTGATGTATTGTTGACAGATACTTTTCCACATTGCACCATTCAGGTTATTTCCTTTGCTGTGCAGAGACCTCTAAACTTCCTGTAATTCCACTTGTCAGTTCTTGAAGTAACGTTCTGTTTCTTCCCTTTCAGAAAGTCTTTCCCTGTCCTCTGGTGTGCTTTCTCTGTGCTTTCCCTGGCAGTTTCAGAGTTTCAGGTCTTACATTAAGGGCGTGAATCCATTTTGAATTGATATTTGTGCATTTTTTATTTTTAAAAAACCGTAAAATTCTAGGAAAAAGTGGATA